GTCAACATATAGTGTTGTCGACATGCAAGGGTTGTTAGTAACAATATAAGTTGTTCACGAGTCTCGAGAGGGACATGCGTTGCTGTACCCTCTACATGTATGTTAGTCTATATTCCCCTACCCCTTAAGGTGTGCGATAAGATAAATTCCTTGTCCACGGGACCCTCGGGTGATATGCGTTGATGTACGCTCTATGTTAGTCTATGTTCCCCTACCCTTTTGGTGTGCAGTGAGATACATTCATTGTCCACGGGACCCTCTTGTGATAGGGGTTGATGTATCCTCTATGTTAGTCTATGTTCCCCTACCCTTTGGGTGTGCGGTGAGATAAATTCCTTGTCCACAGGACCCTCGGGTGATAGGGGTTGATGTACCCTCTATGTTAGTCTATGTACCCCTAGCCTTTTGGTGTGCGGTGAGATACATTCCTTGTCCACGGGACCCGCGGGTGATAGGGTTTGATGTACCCTCTATGTTAGTCTATGTACCCCTACCTTTTGGGTGTGCGGTGAGATACATTCCTTGTCCACGGGACCCTCTTGTGATAGGGGTTGATGTACCCTCTATGTTAGTCTATGTTCCCCTAGTCTTTGGGTGTGCGGTGATATACATTCCTTGTCCACGGGAACGTCAGGTGATATGGGTTGATGTACCCTCTATGTTAGTCTATGTTCCCCTACCCTTTGGGTGTGCGGTGAGATACATTCCTTGTCCACGGGACCCTCTTGTGATAGGGGTTGATGTACCCTCTATGTTAGTCTATGTTCCCCTAGTCTTTGGGTGTGGGGTGAGATACATTCCTTGTCCACGGGAACGTCAGGTGATATGGGTTGATGTACCCTCTATGTTAGTCTATGTACCCCTACCCTTTGGGTGTGCGGTGAGACACATTCCTTGTTCACGGGACCCTCTTGTGATAGGGGTTGATGTTTCCTCTGTGTTAGTCTATGTTCCCCTAATCTTTGGGTGTGCGGTGAGATACATTCCTTGTCCACGGGACCCTCTTGTGATAGGGGTTGATGTACCCTCTATGTTAGTCTATGTTCCCCTACCCTTTTGGTGTGCGGTGAGATAAATTCCTTGTCCACAGGACTCTCGGGTGATAGGGGTCGATGTACCCTCTATGTTAGTCTATGTACCCCTAGCCTTTGGGTGTGCGGTCAGATACATTCCTTGTCCACGGGACCCTCGGGTGATATGGGTTGATGTACCCTCTATGTTAGTCTATGTACCCCTACCCTTTGGGTGTGCGGTCAGATACATTCCTTGTCCACGGGACCCGCGGGTGATAGGGGTTGATGTACCCTCTATGTTAGTCTATGTTCCCCTACCCTTTGGGTGTGCGGTGAGATACATTCCTTGTCCACGGGAACGTCAGGTGATATGGGTTGATGTACCCTCTATGTTAGTCTATGTACCCCTACCCTTTGGGTGTGCGGTGAGACACATTCCTTGTTCACGGGACCCTCTTGTGATAGGGGTTGATGTTTCCTCTATGTTAGTCTATGTTCCCCTAGTCTTTGGGTGTGCGGTGAGATACATTCCTTGTCCACGGGACCCTCTTGTGATAGGGGTTGATGTACCCTCTATGTTAGTCTATGTTCCCCTACCCTCCTGGTGTGCGGTGAGATAAATTCCTTGTCCACAGGACTCTCGGGTGATAGGGGTCGATGTACCCTCTATGTTAGTCTATGTACCCCTAGCCTTTGGGTGTGCGGTCAGATACATTCCTTGTCCACGGGACCCTCGGGTGATATGGGTTGATGTACCCTCTATGTTAGTCTATGTACCCCTACCCTTTGGGTGTGCGGTCAGATACATTCCTTGTCCACGGGACCCGCGGGTGATAGGGGTTGATGTACCCTCTATGTTAGTCTATGTTCCCCTACCTTTTGGGTGTGCGGTGAGATACATTCCTTGTCCACGGGAACGTCAGGTGATATGGGTTGATGTACCCTCTATGTTAGTCTATGTTCCCCTACTCTTTGGGTGTGCGGTGAGATACAATCCTTGTCCACGGGACCCTCGGGTGATATGGGTTGATGTACCCTCTATGTTAGTCTATGTACCCCTACCCTTTGGGTGTGCGGTCAGATACATTCATTGTCCACGGGACCCGCGGGTGATATGGGTTGATGTACCCTCTATGTTAGTCTATGTTCCCCTAGCCTTTGAGTATGCGGTGAGATACATTCCTTGTCCACGGGACCCTCTTGTGATAGGGGTTGATGTACCCTCTATGTTAGTCTATGTTCCCCTAGCCTTTGGGTGTGCGGTCAGATACATTCATTGTCCACGGGACCCGCGGGTGATAGGGGTTGATGTACCCTCTATGTTAGTCTATGTTCCCCTAGCCTTTGGGTGTGCGGTGAGATACATTCATTGTCCACGGGAACGTCAGGTGATATGGGTTGATGTACGCTCCACCGGTCCTTCGCTTTGCTGTACCCTCTATGTTAATTTGTGTTCCCCTCGCCTATAATTATATTATGATATGCATATAAATAAATGTCTGGTCTGTAGATCAATTTCTGGTGTGTCCACCATGTTGGGCGATACATGCACGACACCTTGATGGCATACTGTTGATGAATTTGCATTCAGCTGCCCTTGGTATTGACCGCCGTTCCGCCTGAAGAGTACTCTGCCCGAGAGCATCCCATCTCTCATGTTAAGGGAGGTAACAGCCAGACCAATGTCAGTATGCCTTCTTTTCGGAGACAACCGGTGACGACCTGAGCACGATCTGGTCTTGCATTGTCTTCTTGCAGTTCAAAATTTCTACCAATAAATCTAGCGAGTAGAACAACGACAGGACGCAGAATCATATGCCATACCGCCCTACACCATGATACTACTGCGCCCATACTGATCAGGGTCAAGAATTGTTGCTCTGGCATACCGCTCACCGCTACGTCGCCAACAACGTGTTCTGCCATCTATGAAACGGAGGCAAAACCTTGATTCGTCTGTAAACATGGTGCGCGACATTGGCGCACTGCCCGTCCCTGGTGTTGCCAGGCCTGCCCCAATCTTTGCCGCCTACGGTATGCTGCTAGGGTCACACCCTTCACAGCACGCCTTGCTTTCGGGCAGCTGTGTAGAGACGGTTTTCACCTTCATCTATTGTGCGGAGTTCTCTATCGATAACAGGTGTAGATCTGCATCTTTTGTGTAGTGCCTCCATCTATCGTACCCACAATCCGCCATTGTGTTTATTGATTGAGATACTCCGAGGCATTTGTAAGCGTGTGCTTAGCTCAGTTGCATTTGTTATTGAGAGTTCCCCTATGGACCACACTTACTGGCTTCTGTGTGCATCGCGTCTTGTTGATGCATGATGTGAATTTCAGGGTGAGTGAGTGAGTGAGTGAGTGAGTGAGTGAGTGAGTGAGTGAGTGAGTGAGTGAGTGAGTGAGTGAGTGAGTATGGTTTTACGCCGCTTGTAGCAATATTCCAGCAATATCACACATTGTACCCATCGAACTCGCGTCTTCGGTGTGACGAGTGAACACTTTAACCACTAGGCTACCCGACGCCCCTACAGTGATAAGACGGTGTGCACCTCAACGACAGCTACATTCACATCATTACTTACCTTATTTCTTGTCAGTAGTATAAAGGTATGTAACAGAAATATCCTGAAATATTGAAAATACAGAAATACGAAATCTAAAGCACTGTGTTAATATTATGGACACTTCAAACTAAATAACTCGTTCTGGTCATAGTATTTACGAATGACAAGTAAAATATTGCCAATTCTAAGATTTATAAAATGGTGCTGATTCTTGTCCCACACAGTCTTGAATGTCAGGACAGCTAACCCACTTGAAGTCAGAAAGCAGTTCACTCAAGACACCATTACAGTACCAACTGTACGACTCGTCACAGACGTTTATGATACAAGCTCTGACACCCCATTCTCCCCTGTAGGAAATGACCGGTCCCTAGACAGGTTGTGACCGATAAATAAGGGTTATACTTTGTGACAAGCCTGAGCCTAGCGCAAAGCTACGTGGCAGACAAGTAAGCAGGTTACCTTGCCACGGTGAGGCACTTTCAATCACTGTGGCCACTAAGCACTTCTCACCCTAGAAACTTCAGTCCAACATAAGTGTTGCATCCTATCTGACGGCAAGCCTGGATTCCAAGCCTTTGAGATGTTATATCATTGTGAGTGACACTTCTGCAACATCATCACGATACAATAGGGCAAAACTAGAAGGACTTTCCGAGGACATAATTATACCCATTCCGCCATTTTCTTCCATTTTAGTTCCATGTTGATAGGAGCGGTCGGGTAGCCAAGTGGTTAAAGCGTTCGCTCGTCAGGCCGAAGACCAGGGTTCGATTCCCGACATGGGTACAATGTGTGAAGTCCATTCCTGGTGTCCCCCGCCGTGATATTGCTGGAATATTGCTAAACGCGGTGTAAAACAATACTCAATCACTCACTCCATGTTGATATATATTGTGAAGATCTGAGGCTTTATTTAACCCTTGGTTTGTTCCTACACTGCACGTTGAATAGTTTGACAACCCAGTGTCCGTCCTAACACAAGCTGAGAGTTTGGAGTACATAGAAACAATAAACTTACAAGAGATCCCCTTTGATTGTCATTTGCTGGAGACTCCAACATTTAACACAGTCAAAGGCCTTAGAGTAGTCAATGAAGAGACAATACAATCTGACCCTCTTCTTGTGTGATATCTAGATTCCTTTTGTTAAATACTTCAGTCAGTCTGTTGTCTCTTGTTGATTTTTGAAAATGTATTTCCCATTCTACCCGGACCATGGATATTCTCTTGCGTTGACCTTTCATATTATATTTCAAGTCTAAGTTCGACACAATAACACAGGCCTCATTTTGTATATTTGGATGGAGCTTGCTGCTGGCGACCTCATATGCCTCAGATATTGCCGTTACGATGTCCAGCCCTCATACCCTAACAACATGATAATACAGAAGACCAAGAAAGTTTACTTTATTCTCTATATTTATTTTTCAAGAAATACGAAGGGAATGAGGGTGTATACAATGCAAGCATGTTACACAACAGAAGCGTGACAATTACGTTCAATGAAGCATAGCAATTACATTTTAAGTCAACTGTGGAATGACAAAGAATAAATAGATACCAAATAGCATTTCAGGTATACTGGAAAAGCAATATCTCTATCACATGTCTATCTAGAGAAAGGTTGAGTCGGTGGAACTGCCGCATCTGTTTCATATTTGCATCTATGCAGGTATATTCGGGTGACAAGAACTATCCACAAGACTGCTTGAAAAGAGGGAGCACTTCCATTTTCCAGTGGTCAACTTTCCCTTTGTGTGGAACAGTATCACAGCAGCTGATAGTGATTTATAAAGACGTGTATAAGCCATGGTCGGAACCGTACAGTGGACCCTACTCTTTACTCTACTTTAAGCAGATATTTGTAATTATTATTACATCAAATTAAATTATCCCAAATAAAATTAAACGACACAATTTAAACCAATCAAAAAGGCGAGTGTCTTTTTATAATTATTATGAAGTTCCATATTTTCTTTTGTGTCATGCTTAACTGATTTATAGTGGAGGGATTGGACCAACATCATCACGCTAGAGAGTTATAGGGCAGCTGGTTTTCGCTGAGATAGTATAAGTATAAGTAAAAGTATAAGTAAAAGCGTATAGATAAAACAACCTCCATCCAAACACTACCATGAATAAATTGAAAAAAAACAAATCTCATCAAAAGAGATCACCTAAAGAGGGCCTCTTTGGTTTAAAAAGTATATTAGGAGGATAACCACCTTCTCGGGGAGGATGGATGCTGGAAATCAGTAAAATTTGTGCACGATGAAGCAAAAGATGCTACGTTTGTGTCTGGTTACAATCAGTAAAGTCAGCTTTTACAAACTTGAAGAATGTGATCAGTGAGTGGCCCATGAATCTAAGACTGAGACAGCAGTTCACATACAAATTCACCTCGCAACACTTCAGTAATCACTATCATCAGTGGAACTTGGAAGAAGCTGTTCCTGGACTGGGTCCACATTATCAGTGGAGCCTGGAGCAAACTGTATCTTGATTGGGTCCATCTTTCCTTCATATGCTCTGAATTACATGTTTACATTCTAGATGCACATTGCAGCTGTCAATGATGATATTGTTATTACCGTATTCATATATTCATTCGCAGGAAATGATTCTTCGCCATGATAGCGTTTCTTCAGGACAGTTAGGTTGCTTGACTCAAACTCCACAACAATCACTGACCTGTATTTGACATCCGCCATCTCCAGAAGTATCTTTGATGCTTTCACCTCATCCTTTTCCTTTTTCTCATCTGACAAGTAGACAACCTCATGGATTCCAGACTGAATGATCATCTGGGTGCAGTGGTTACATGGGAACAGAGTCACGAAAATCGTGCAGCCTTTCAAGTCAGCAGAGAACCTGTTCAGTATGGCGTTCAGTTCAGCGTGGCAGACTGGAAATGAATACTTTCATAATAAGAAGTGACTAGAACTGTTCCCTTTTCACAATAATCCACTTTCTGCTCAATCTCACTCCTCTCTTCCAGCCATGTTATACAATAATACGGTCAGGCTCTGTGATAGCATGCCCTGATAGCATGCCCTGAATGTATCCCCTGATAGCAAGCCCTGATAGGGTTATTGCACTTCATTGGACGTAATTGTCACGTTTCTTTTGTGTGATATGCTTGCATTGTATACACTCTCTTGCCCTTGGTATTGCATGCTTGAACAATAAATAAACAGAATAAAATAGGCTTTCTTGTTTTGGTGTACTAGCATGTTGATAGGGTATTTGAGTTAGAATTTAACACCGAAACGGCATTAACAGAGGCATATGCGGGGGCTAAAAGATGGGTCCATCCAAATAAACAAAATGAATCCGGCGATCTTGAAAACTGTCTGTCTGTTCATGGACATATGGCCTACCTCTGGCTTAATGTACCTGATGTACGTCTGTTTACGTGCAAGCTCTTTGCCCCAAGGGTAAATATACCCACCCGTGCAAAAGGTAAAAAGTGGTTGTGCTATATGCACTGGTATACTTGGGTTAGTCCATTATAATATCAATACATTTAGCTGACAATGGACAGGTTTGGACGTTGTGCTCGGAGAAGGTTGGTTGGTTGGGTGGTTGGTTGGTTGTTTAACGCCCGCACTCAGCAATATTCCAGCTATATGACGGCAGTCTATAAATAATCGAGTCTGGACCAGACAATCGAATGATTAATATCATGAGCATTGATCTATCTATCTATCATGCATCAACCACGTCAATGAGCCTGACCACCCGATCGCATTAGTCGCCTCTTACGTCTTAGTTTACAAATCAACACAAATTACTGAACCGCAATTTCAATGGCAGTACACAATAGAGTGGTAGTGCCATATTCAATGGCAGTACACAATAGAGTGGTAGTACTATATATAGCAGATATAAATAATGTCAGTCACTTAAAAATCAGCAATATCTACTTTTCAAATAACTAACAAAGAAAACATTCAGCAGATATAAATAACAACAAAGACAATCGGAATTGAACAAAACAAGAACATATATAATGAGATGCTGATAACTTTCTACAGAACTGAGATGAAATATTTTCTTGCCAATGTCTGTAACAACCGGGTACCGGCTATCTGTTTGTAACTAAGACATTTTAAGGAAACTCGTTTCTTTCATTTCAAATAGGACACACGATAACCTGTTGTGTGTGCTTTGCTTGCAACCACAGCCCCATGTCTGTCTATTGTTCAGGCGATCAGCAAATATCGATCCACCCTTTCCAAGAACTGTAAGCAAAAGTAAACTACAACTAGGTCACATTAGGTCATTAATGTGAGTGGACGAAGATAAACTTTTCATATTGACAGGGAGCAACACAGTATACCGTTACCGCAGATAAACTTTAACCACTTGCAAAAATCTGCTACGTGTGTAGTGCAGGGTATATATATTATCGTATTATGAACGGACACAAACAAAGTTAATAATCTGACTAATTACAACACCAAGAGATGAATATCCATCCCCGTTCACATGAGTCTAATACATAAAGTTATGTCACTTTACCACGGTTCCATGTAGTTCTTGACGGCACGTTGTGGAACCTTATATCGTTTCATTTACATATTATTCAAGATAAAACCTGTATAAAAAATGTGCCATTGCTTACACGATGTTCAAATGTCCACTAGCACTTCCAACTTAAAATGTCTCAGTTAACGTTAACGTAAATACAACCCGTGCGTTCCGGTATTAACTCTAACTTGGCACAGGTTGCTTACATAACACTATATAAATTGGAAACTCAAACATCAAACTGGCGAACAATTCTCGATCGTTAAACTCACAACAGGGATGGATCAGTGCTCAGCAGTGATCAGCTCGTAACTGCAATACTTGGGTCAACATAACCTAGGGCCCGCCTCAAACTGCCACATTCCCTGGCTCTAACTTTTAACATCGATTTATTTTCTGACAGAACGTATTGAACTTGAAATCGAGGGTGAAAACAGGAACTTCAAGAGTACATCTTCTAGAATTGTTTTCAATTTCCCTGCACCTCTCTGTTCCTAGCAGTAAAGGGGAAGATTCAGAACAAAATATGCATTGTATGAATGTAATGCTGTCATCAGGATAGGAATAATCGGTGTATTGATATGTGTAATTTACGTTTTTCCTTGTATCACATCGCTCATCTACTACAAGTAAGGTATACTAGGAAACGCTTCATTGAAACAGTGTTAACCAGTGTCCAGTATCAATAAAACCAGACATACTAAACAGACAAGAAGTAGGACAACGTGAATTGAGTTCTATACTAAGAACATCCATTGATTTCATCTCCAAACATGAACATTTATTGAACTGGACCATCCCAATGTACTATTACGAGGCGGATAAGGTGTGTTTGTTTCAAAGATTCCTTTTACTTCTTTAAAAATATACTACCTCGCAGAAAATGGGCGGATGTTTATCTGCTAGTTTGGACTTGTTGGGAACCAACAATTACAAAGCAACCCATTAGAATACAGTTCGTATCTTTACTGTAAATCATGTCAGGGCTTGTCTTGACACAACCTGACCAATCAAGACGAGAATGTAAGGCATATATATAACAGCTGCAGTCGGGGTTGGTGATCATACGCCAGGTCTGCACACTTGCTGAAACAAGAAGTTCTACCATGGATTCAGAAAACCCAACTGAAAACACCAGGTAAACGTCGATTGCCATAATTATACATGTGTTACATAAGAGTGGTGTTTATACCATTGGTGTTTGAGATACACTGACATCTCATAACACCACAACTAACGTAATAACTGTGTGATGGTATATTTTATTATATGCTATTAATCAAATCCATATGATATACGTATTTTAATCTTGAACTTTAGTAATATTTGTTACATATATAACTAAACCTGTGACCACTTTTCGGAATGTTCTAAGATCGCGGACCTGTGCATCTGTGCACCTGTGTTATTATGTATTAGAGGAAATATAGATATGTTTTACAGTTCACATGGGGGTGATCGATCGGCAGCCATTTTCTGTGAATCGATCACTCTCCTACCCAGAGTTCCATGCGGCCGGCAGCCAGCTAGCATGGTACTGCTGAATCGATACCTCCCCACCCTGAAATGAGAACCGTCCTAACGTGTCCCGGTTGTCACTGTATCTGCACTGCACTCTCAGTTATGGTTGCCAAAGAAATTATCAGTAACAGTGCTGTTAAAGAATTGCAGGAAACCAGAAGACAACCCAGTCCTGATGCACAGTGTGATGCTGTTCAACATTAACACGTTGACTAACTATCCCTGCTGATGTGATGTTGTTTTTTCAAACAATTTTTATAATGTTATATTTTACTTTCATTGTCGGTTGTTTCAATGAGGAAATAGCTTAAATTGTTCTGATTCTGGTCACCATAGAACATTTCTCTAACAGTTTCATAAACATTTCATTTGTATGCAAAAGATATGCCTTCGTTAAATCTTTTAAAGTCATCATCGAACAACCAGGTTTGCGGCCTAGAACGCCCCAAACATCCGATATCAAACTACCATATTTCCTCTATTTGACACAAAACGCCGTCTATTAATTTCGCGAGAGCCCTTGACTCGGCGTGTATTAGAGACCTGGCTGGTATTAGAGACCCAGCGTGTATTAGAGGAAATATAGATATGTTTTACAGTTCATATGGGGGTGATCGATCGGCAGCCTTTTTCTGTGAATCGATATGTAGGCTTTCTATGTATTCATACGCACGTTTTTTGTGTGAAAAGGCTTAATATATTTGAAAGGGGTTTCCGTAGCAAAAAGAAACCTCTTTTTAACCAATCAGAATCAAGCATTCATCAATGTCATGGTAGAATTGCTGTTACCCTGCCTGGCTTTCGGCATAAAGGGGATAAAACAAGGACTGGTCGGTTCGGAGACAGTATAATGTGTGGCAACGTGTTAGTGCACACACACACACACACACACACACACACACACACACACACACACTTGTATTCACGGCGGAGTGAGGGCCATATACTGAAACCCCGTAATGAGGACCCTTAGTTCCAGTGGTGCTAGATGCATGATTGTTTGTAATTTGAATCTGTCCAAGTCCACAAGTAACTTCATCACTTAGTTTGGCGAAACTGCATTATCAGTGGTTCATATCAAGCTCCTCACAGCGATAGTACGTTCGCGGAGCTCTCTATACTATCGCTGCCACCAGTCAAAACTTCCCACTGTGAATAGGTGGCCACAACCATGCTTGGAGTGGCAGCGATATTACCGAGAGTGTAACGAAGGTGTCACGCGCTCGGAAGGAGCTTGGGTTCATATTGGGAAAGGGAGGTCACTCTAATTTCAAACGGGAGCTATCTCCGTTGTTTTCGTATTTGCGAGCAATGGCGTCACCCACGCTGTACGTTGTTGGTCCAGCTATTAAATGCCCAGCTTATCCCTAAGGTAAAACGTTTTCTTAATTAAATGTTTGAATGCATTATATATTTATGTTTCCATCAGTACATCTTCTAAGGTTGGTTTAGTGGTGATAACCATTTTCTAACATGTGGGCCCACATCTTTCGTTCTTCCGTCATATTGATTGCAACAGGAGGGACCACATTTATTAATCGCGAAATTCTACTTAAATATTGATAATCATTTTCTCAAATGTGGGCCCACATTGTTCCCGTCATATATGGTGACCGAAACAAGTGGGCCCACATTTGTATATCGCCTAGTGGGTAGACGTTCTTCCGTCATAGTGATTGCAAAAGGAGGGACCACATAAAAAATCGCTAGCTTCATTAGCTTGGCTTACTTATAACCATTTTCTAAAATGTGGGCCCACATTGTTCCCGTCTTATAGTGATCGAAACAGGTGGGCCCACATTTTTAAATCGCTGGGTTTCATTAGGTTGACGAAGTCATTTGGGCTATTGGGCTCACGTTTGTCATTATGTGACATTTTATATTATTCATATTTTGTAATATTGATGGGAAATATCTTTATAAATCATTTCGTGTGACATTAATTCCATGAAAGGCACAAAAGTCTTTGAAGTTTGAATAACTGCGTCATAGCTGACCACACTAGTTTTACAAAAATAGCTACCAAGCAAGAAACTTAAATCTACTTCAAATTAATTTACAGAGGCAATACCACTCATTCTACATTTTCCAATATAACACATCAATCTAACCATCAGTGTTGGTGGCGATATAAGCCTGAAAATATGTCTA